ACCCAAGGTGATGAGTTTATTACAACTAGTGTGAATCCCTTCACCATTATATTCCAGGAAGTGGGGTGCGCGATAGACTTACCTCCACGTGGTGCACCCTGGGCAACGTATACTCATACGGCAAAAAAGTCTATCAATGGGCAGTTGACTTCTTACTTCAAACTACCATCACCTCACTCTATGCCATATTCGAATAGTTTTACAGTACTCACCTCACCTGTGTTCTACCTTTGTGTTTGTCTCTTACATCTTTGAAACATTCTTCTGTCCCCCCCCCCCTATCGACTTTTCACTTTGATATTCCTTCTCCCCTCTGTGAAGCCTGAAGTCAACTAAAGGGCTAATGATAACCATCAAGACGCCTGCCATTTGATATAAATAAATATTCCAGAAAGTAAAGTATTATTAAAATTTTAAAGCATGGAAATGGAGAGTCTGTCATTTAAAATATTTATTTTTATCTTTACAAAGTCCTCCCCCTCCCTTCGCATCTTTTTCATTGAAAAAATATACTATTGATAGTCACAAAAATATAGTTGTGCTGTTCTAATAATAGCAAAATCTATAAAAAAAACTGCACTTAATCAATCTGTATTTAGGCAAATAGCACTATGCAGCTACACTTGAAGATGTGATCTTAATTTACGCCCCATTTTACGTCTCGGAGGTCATTTATCAAGAAATGTACCTCAACGCCCTACCAATTGATAGTTCAAATGCATATTAATGCCCAAGTTGTCAAGTTGCTTGCTGATTAAGAGGACTTGAAAAGAATGGTGCTAGCACATATTCTGAATCTCGCATACACAAATTCTGTTGTGGTAATATAAATCGTGAAACGATGGGAATATCCTTGAAGTTGAAGTAGAACATTTTTTTATTGCTGATCTTGCTGGAATAGTTCCTTGTTAATTGTTAATCAATCTATACATTTTCATGGTAGGAGTGCGATTGTCAATAAGAATAACGAATCTTAACATTCGAAGTACATTCATTTCTCACTTTCTACAAGTCAGTTTATGATAAGTTTTTAACAGATGTAGGAATCATTGGAAGCAAACTCTCGAAATCCTTTTCTCGGTACGAATACTCATGATATGCGTCACTTTTGTAATTTAAATGAGTGATCTCTGATTTCTCAGACATTGAAAATAACACCGTCGCACATAACAAATGTACAAACTTGCAGCATTAGACATATCAAGTGCATATTTCACTCTATTCCTACTGTTAAGAGAATGTTAGATCCTTGATACCAAAGTTTAATTTCAGCTTGTTCTGAATACCAGAAAATGGGGTGTGCGATAGACTTACCTCCACGTGGTGCACCCTGGGCAACGTATATTCATACGGCAAAAAAGTCTATTAATGGGCAGTTGAATTCTGACTTCAAACTGCCATGACCCCACTGTATGCCATATTCGACTACTTCCACAGTACTCACCTCACCTTTTTTCTACCTTCGTCTTTGAGGCACTCTTCTGTTCCCCTCTCCCTCTCGACTTTTTTCCACTTTGATGTTTCTCCCCCTCTGTGAAGCCTGAAGTCAACTAAAGGGCTAATGATAACTATCAGAACGCCTGCCATTTATATAAATAAATAATGCTATCATCTTATATGCTAATCGGCGCAATTGCGGAAACTTTAAAAATATACCTTAAATAGTTTATTAGAACTTGAGTTCAAAAACATTATGCTGGTTATAATCATTTTCGGTTATGGCTAATGTATTATTTTAACTATCTTTGGGATGAATCTTAAATAAAAATGGGCTACCATTCAATGAAAGTGTTGTCAAAGGCCTTTAGTCACCTAAATGGCTCCAAATTTCCAAATTAATTAATGATACATGATTTCTCCCAGTTATGCTAAGAAACCACTCACACGTTTATGCTAAAAATTGTACAAAATTTGTAAGCAATTAGCAACCTTGTGAGGTATTCAATTTCATTTCATTTTATCAAACAGCTTCATAATGCATACTTTTATGTAAAACACATAGTAGAGATAAGACATTGGAGGCTTTCAGATAAATCTTTTTATCGGATCTGAGCTTTAGACAAAACCTCGGTTACAAATACGAATTGAGGAAAACTGCAACGTGACGATGCAAGTAATTGTTCGAGTTAAGGAGATAGATCTCACGCGTGACCCAGACCTCACTGATTCTTGTGCCATGTCCACGTGGTGTTAAAAAAATAGCTGCACATATACCTTAATTCGCCCAATTTATGGCACAACCGAAACTTTCTGTCGGAGAGAAACGGTCTTCAACTTCCTAACACTGTAGAGGTTGGGTATGTCTCTCAGTAACATCCTTCAAATAGTGTCAGTGAAAACAGTGCCGAATGATTAGACATAAGGAAGACTGTGGCCCAGTACCTTTGAATCCTCCAGACACAACGCTATTAAGGTTAATTAAGGCAATGCAAGTTAGCTTTCCATATAAAGAATCGGTATCATAAAACTAAATCAGAATACTTCTTATCGAACGAGCAATTGGCTGCCAACCGAATCGATACAATGCAACACTGATCGACTTGAATCTAGCTTGTTTACGCAAGACACCGCTTCAGACATGAACAAGATCTTAAAAAAGGGTATGCAAATAACTGGGTCGTAAAAATAAGAGCTAGTCTCCCTGTCCATAAACAGTGACAGGTACGTAGTTGTTAAGTTGACGAGGGACATTAGTATCTCAACAACAACTTAACTTCATCTGTTTTGTCTCCACTGTCTTCACCAAATCAATACTTTCGGTCCACTCATATCGTTCATCTGCAGTCACGTGCACACTCCTACGTTCACCACTTCAGTCACATGTGAATGAATCGGCAACATTTTCCCTAAGTATTTTAAGATCATGATCCCAAGCAATCTTACTCAGATGACTCAGATGGACGGTTTCGATAACAGCCTTGTCTATGGTGGATGAAGAACTTAAAAGTTTATCTCCAAGAAGCAACTTGACTATTCTATTAATCTAAATGCCATTTTGGAGCTGAATTATTAATTCAGTTTACACTGTAATCCAACCTCACCATTCGTCTTGGTAACGATTTCGATAAAGAGTATCGGAACATAACATAATTCTAACAAGTTGATTTTCTTTCCCGTCCTCTCTACAATAAGAGATATCCCATTAAGAAAATTGGCTTTACAAGTCTGGCGGTGGAAAACGAAACGAACACAACGCCTTTTATTGTGGAGTGATAGACTTTCCTCCATGTGGTGTACCCTGGGCAACGTATACTCATACGGCAAAAATGTCTATAAACCGCCAGTTGACTTCTCACTTCAAGCTATCATGACCCGAGTATGTCATATTCAACCACTCTTACAATACTCACCTTAACTTACCTTTTTCTATCATTGTGTCTGCCTCTTTTACATCTGTGAATTATTCTTCTGTTCCCCTCCCCCTCTCGATTTTTTCTCACTTTGATGTTCCTCCTCCCTCTGTGAAGACCGAAGTCAACTAAAGGGCTAATGATAACTATCCCAACAATAACCGATGGTGATATACAAAGTGCCGGGACTTAAAGATACAGTGCTGATGAACGTTATGAAGTGCGCTTACAAAGGATAACCAAAAACAGTCGCCTTCAACTTTGTAGACGACGAGATAACCTGTCTATGGCTAGTTCATGCCTTACGTTCACAGATCGCGTCATCAATCATCGGGCGAGACGTACTAAAGAGACCCCGTAACAGTCACCCGGGTTTTAGCCGAATGGAATCGATTTCAAGTACGCTAGCATAAAGGCCCGGAATGGGCAAGGGCAATAAAGCAAGATCCCAAAGTCGTTATAAATGGCAATAGACAAGCAAGCTTTCACAAGCCACAATCCTATTTCCCGGTCTAAAAATGCACCTGCATGACTCCGCAAGTCAACGCTCTCTCACATCTCGCAATCCAAGTGACCTTAAGTTATTTCACTTAAGTCCACCACAATCACCCTCCCTCCATATAAGCCAAATCTAACCGCACACAACACATCTAATACGCTGTTACTAAACCTGAAGGCAACGTAACTAAGCCACTAAATTACATGCCTGTGGCCATTTATACCTTCAATTACTATACTCAATTTTTCCCCTCGGTAGTTGATGAATAAGTGAAGGGAAATGTGAAGTCAAGGAGACGTTGTAATAAATATCTACATTATTCATAATGCTGCAAACGTAAAAGCCGAGACAATAATGCAAAAACACAGGCGGAGCACGATTGACCAATACGGTTTGATTATAGTCATAGTACATAAAGTACTGTACGCACACAAAAAGGCATTATGAGTGGGGAGAAAAAATGGGATAAGAGAGAGAGAGAGAGAAGGAGACCAGAAGTTGAAACAAGGAAATAGATTATATTTACACAGAGAGAGAGAGAGAAGGGCCGAAGAATGGCATAAACAAACGAAAGGCGGCGGAAGGGGAGAGGGAAAGCAAAAAAACTTCCATACGACTCAAGATTCACACCGCTTTGACTTCAAGTACCTCATGGCCCTGTTTAGCATTTGATCCTATTTAAAAAATGAGAATAATGGAATTGTAATTATTATTATTATTAAATAAAACGTATTGATAAGAGCACTTTAGGCTATAAGAATCCAGGAGCCAAAGCGGTTCAACTTTCCATTTTATGATTGCTGCAAGTGGGGAACTTTCCACTTATCTTTAACACTCCTTTTGACCTCAATTGCCAAATCTCAAGTGATATGTAGCTTTTACTATTCCTACAAACACTCCATGTCTCTGTCCGTATCACCCTCTTCTTCCTAACTAGATTGAGGTTGAGGACAGATAATTTAGCAAGACTTCTCCATCCCTCGTTAGTGGCTGAAAAGACCGATGCAGAGTGGCCGCATATTTTAATTATAGGGCGGAGTAGGATCACTATTATTGAAAGAACAGTTTTATCAAAACGATGTATGTGAGACTCATACCCAAAAATATTGGAGCTGACAGATCGAAGCTGATGCAAAATATACAATTTTTTTCTAGACGATGAAGGAGGCCGTCTCAGAATAGGTAATCCTGGGAATACCTCGCTTCGAAGAAATGATTCGCATCAGCAAAATCTGAAATGTTAACGAACAAAAAGTTCTTTGCAAAGAGGGATACATAATCTCATGAAAAGAACTACTAGCTTACAGAGACTAACTGCGTAAAGATAGACAGATTTTCCGAATATAACACTCAAAATAAGCTTATATCGATCGATTAGCGTTTACATACGTGTCTAGGAGTGAAGTCGCAAGTGGACAACAGTTATGGTAAGCGCAGGATAGATCGAGCCTAATCATCTTAATTGCCTCAAGGTGACGCATGAAATAGGTTAGCTTTATTTGTTCTCAGCCATGCTGTGCACCATTTCATATCTACAAATTCAGCTCCTCCATTTTATACTTTCTCTCCCCCCTCCCCTTCCTCCCTTTAATCTATGACTGGCCAATAATCAGCAGCCCGACTTAACGCCATATCTTCTAAATTGGTAGAAAAAGACCACTCGATTACAAAAGAATTACTCTAAGACCAAATCAATTGGAATATTAAATTAGGTAACCCGCGAAGCTTAGTGTTACTTTAGAGTTCATTTAACGCACCGCCTCATTGCTAGCTAACCAGTCAGCCATAGACCCCTAAATTAATAACAGTATGTAGTTTCTCAATAAATTGACTCTCTTAGAGTACCAATTCTCAGTCTTCTCCGTCTTTGATCAAAAACCAAGTCAAGCATAGCCATAGCTCCACAATTGAGATTCATCAATTTTAAAACATAGAGCAGAGCAACGATAAGATGATTTTGCATAATTATTATTACTATGAGCTGTTATGGATCATCTTCTCTCCTAATGGACTTTGCAAATTTTTTCCAATTAGCCTTCACTATTGACAGGGCTTGGTCCTGAATAACAATAAAAATTCACCAAGTAATAATCATCTGTTCTAAAAGATATAAATGCCCTATAAAAACGGATTGTTCATTCCTAACAAAGATAGCAGCTGAACCCATGTTCCTGGATTGCAAAAAAGATCTTTTTTAATTTGATTTCAGTAAGTAAGTCCGATTCGTACTGTCGACAATTACTACTCCCCCCCCCACCACCACCACCACCCGAATGTAGGAAGACACGAGTAGCCCCACTATCCAAACATGTGCAATTGGAGAATAAGATCATACTTAGTAAGTAAAAAAGACTGAAGCTACTTTTGAGATACGTGAGCAGACTTTCAGTACATTTTTGTTCAGTCATCAAAAGTAGGCTTTGAACGACCACAGAATCCAACTAAAATCTCTCGATGTGAAGTACATTGCAATCAGATTCGATGTCAGCCCATATATTGAGCTTGGGAGCTAATTGACTTTATCTTGTAGATCAATTTATTTCACTTTCTATTGAAGCTGCTTTAATGGACATACAACGGTGCGATGTGATATAGCCAAGACGTATTCTCACAGAGGTCTTGTGTATGTACCTCCAAGTACGTTGCAATAATGATTAGACGGAACAATCACAACTCCGGCTCGATAATAGGCATGTGTCCGTCGAGACAGAAATTTTTAAATTTAACTCTCCTATTCCTAACTCGTAACAGTAACAACTGTATTTCACCACTTTACATATATAGGTCATTGACAACAAGTATTCTTTAATTAATAGAAATTATTACAACATACTCACACCATACAATACAATCACAGTTAAACGGTTTAGGTTCAAATGATTTTCTTAGTTGTGTGGGTCGCGTCATTTAAATGGAAACAAGAGTGAGGGAAAAAAATTTTAGACGTCGTCATAAGCAGTCTTCAAATCCAATATTAAGGAATTTCAAGATCAACAACTAACTTAATAGTCATTTGAAGCCCACAGAACCCAGACGTAGAGTATAAGAGACATCACATCAAAAAACGTAAATCCATGTGATTCTACAACTACCACTCAATAATTTGAAATTGCATCCAGCTTCACGAGGCACCTTCTTAATAACTCGAATTATTACTAACTTAGCTCGAGGCTGGGTCACAAGAATCAACTGCCTCGAATGAAGTTATATATGAGCTACTGTAATTTCAGCATCAATGTAAAAAAAATAGAAAAAAACAAGGGAGAGAATACTCACCCTAAGAGCCTCATCGATTTGCTTCAGATCCTCGTCTATCTCCTCGGGAGCAAGGTTGTAGATAAAACAAGGGGTATTGGCGGGGAGTGTTACCGGTTTCCGTCGCGGTTCCAAATCAGGACCTGGTAAGTATTCAGAGTTGTACGAGGTTTCTACTTCCATCATTCGGCTTTCAACCACCTCCTCTTCTTTTACTTCTGTTTCCTCGCCATTTACATCTTGTCAAGGGAAGAAATAAAAGCAAACTAAGAAACATGTGAATATCTCTTATCGATGCAAGGTAAGAGTGGCATTAGCATCCAAAATTTGAAAAGAGATGCACTTTCTCGAGATATTACATATATTATTTGGTTTGCTAAATATATGAATACAAAGGTAAATCCTCGTTCATGCAATTGATCAAGAGAAAAAAAACAAACTAGGTTTCAGTCGAACCAAATGTTTCCAAGTATTTCAGGACGCACCCCGACACACCCCACTGCCAGTAAATGAGATTTCAGCCCCTATGTCGATCTGATAACACTAGATGTTAGATGACACGAATCAATTGGACTCTTCCGAACTTGCAATCTTTTTAAATACCACTGCCTATAGGACACAACTTTCTGTTAAATTGACAACAAGTTAAAAAAAACAAGATATACGGCATATTTAATAGTGCTATTGTGACCCAAATGAAGTAATGAAAAGTATAATTGGCATGATTATTGACCCAATAACGCTAAGGTGGAGGATATATATTTAAGTTATTCGATGCAACTCCAGCTAAGAGGCCAAAAGTATCCAAAAACCCCAGGGGGATGGCAGTCAAAAAAGAAGAAGAGAGGACAAATTTTCAGAGTCAGAACCTTGGGTGCGAATTGACAATTCGAAAAAAAAATAACTTGAAAAGAATTTACCCAACTAAATGCCCTTTTCGAGGTAAGAGGGAAGAAAACACAAAAAATGATACTCTGCATTATTTTCACCTTCACCTTGACACACATTATCTAACGAAAAAATCTCACAAATGAGAAAAATGCATAAATTTTGCAAACACAATTTATTTCCGAAGCAATGGGTTTATCAATTCCTTAGCACTTATGGTTATTATTTCCAAAGTCCATTCAGAAAACCGGATGCTAAACTTTGGTGGAGAATGGCATAGAAGAGCCCGACTCTAGTGGACTTGAATTCAGCCACCCTCGATATTAACTCGGCTTAATAGCGTATTTAATCATCTTCTTCACTGGTTGTGTGACAATGGGAATCAATTTCGTGAAATAGGCGCACACTTATCAATTATCATGTCCTCATGCCCTTAGAGGAAAAATGAAATCCTCCTACTGCAACATTACTTGCCAGCCAGGTTGCCAACCGACCTCGCGACCTAACTGCAAGCAATCAATAAGTGAAAAAGTCGTCACGATGGGTTTGCCTTCCAGTTTAGCTGCAACATAACCTGACGAATGTGCATAAACTACTTCAATGAGGAAACTCGAAAGCTATTGGCGTGTTAACAGGTAGGGTAATTTAAATGCGCTCAGAAATTATATCAGTATGTTTTGATAACTCACTAGTTTCCAATTTGGGCCTCTTTGAAGCCCTAGAGGCAGAATCAGTTTTACTGCGATTGTTAGTTTTCGTCGTCTCTTCTTCTTCCTCCACATCTTCAAGAAACTGGGGAATTAAAAGGCTTCTAGCTTCGGGAGAAATATGAGATAATAACGAGGGAAATGAAGACTGAGATTTGGAAGAGGAATGGTGGTAGCGACGTGGATGGCCCAAACCTGCATTTTGCTGGCGAAGAGGTTCATCACGAGAGGCTGAAGGAAGAAAGGCAAACCAACAGCAATAAAAGATGTACAAATCAGTTAAATCTACGATTTCCTGATTTTACTTAGCTCATTTTAAACTTTCAAAACTATAGTTCATATGAAATTGAGTCTCGATTAGCACTTATTCGTACGAATATCTAAAACTAGATGAAGCAAGAGTTCAGCTACACTTTAGAATATACTTCCTACTCATATTTAAATAGGATTGCACAAGGACTTGCCCTTAGAGCTCACTGTTTGTATTAGGCACCATTAGAATAGGAGTATGCCTTGGCGTGTGGCATTGAGAAGATACATTTCAATTACAACGACTGTAACACTAAGCTAACACCCTTAAATACCTGTGAAAAATGATGTAACACCTACTAAAATCAGGGTTTAGTCGTATGGCAAACCATCACACAATGAAGGATCTAGAGCGAGTGAATCGACTTGACCCAGTTATTAGCCTGACAGAGAATACATTAGCAATGCAATGGCACGTGGTAGGCAAAATTAAGGTGAAGCAAAGTGAAGGAGATTCATGGAATAAAAAAGCGAATTAATAGGTGGTAGATTAAAAGTAGTTTTCACTAGGGAAGTACTACGATGACACTCCTCTAATCAGAATGAACGTAGAACATCGCTAACTTGACCGGCTTAAGAAATTATCACCTCAGTGAGATAAAAGTCCATACATTCGTACCAGGGACCAAAGCTCTTCAGACAAGTAATGAAATCAGTTGCGCATATTTGTATGCGTTGATGTTACAGTGATCGATGTGTAACATCTGACCAATCAAAGTCACAAGACCAATGCTCATCCGTGTCGACAGTTAACTGCACTGGCACGTTGTGGTCAACAAAAGGGTTGGCAAAATGCGAATTTCGCATAGGAGCGTCAACAGAATATCTTCCTTCGACCCAAAGGGATTGGAAATTTTATACAACTTGGAAGCAAATAGAACCAGATAAAGACGATTGGGCTAGTAGTGAGGAAAATTTAAAGACTTTATCAATTAATAAGCAGGATGATGAAAATAGGTCTCAATGAAATTATTGATTTGTTTCATTACCTTACTCCACCCATGTATTCTACTTTCTCGGGAACCACTAAGAATTAAGGACTTGAGACACACGCCAGCAAGAAAAGACCATTATGGTCCTCTATGCACTTACATTCCATCTTGCTCTGTTCATAAAATATCCAATAACAAATATTCAGATCACCTTTCCTACAGTGGTATAAAATGCACTGTCATTCCATCCAAAACAGGGCATTCTATTTAAGAGAGGCCAGTTGTCTTCCACTAGCTGTATAAAATATATTATAGTCTAAATCGAGCGCAGACGATATTTAAGGAAGTGAGAATCAAGTGCACTTACCGATAGAAGAGGCATGAGACCCACGTTTAGCACGTCTGGCCAACATGAATTCGACCTGGAGGTTGCAGACCGTCTCAAGCAATCGATCACGCAAGCGTTGCCGAATATTGCTAATACCCTCCTCGTAGTCATTCATCGACGTCTGAATAGCGTTGTCGTACTCCTTATTAGCACTCTCCAACTGCAGGTCGCGTCGATGCTTAGCCACCTGTCAAGAAATTATCATAAGTACAACTTAAACAAAAAAAGCTAATATCAATGAGTTGGATTCTGGCTAATGGACAAGAATTATCAAGCGACAAATAAGAGAAGTAAGGTTTCGATAACTATCAACGTCCATTCGATAATGAGAAGTGCTTAATTCCATTGTTTAAAACAGTTGAAGAGGAGAAAAGTGGAATTGCAAGAACAAGATGGGTGCAGAGAAAACGCTTCCTTGAAAGAAATTGTGAATTGCAATAACAATTATTGCTTCTTGAGGTCAACAAAAGGCTTACGAAAGAGAACCTATGGAAAAGGAGGCCAACTAAACTGACAAGTGAACAGGCAACAAAAAAAAACACAACTAACAACAAAATCGTGCTCACCTAGCCAGCCCTAATATGTACCCCTTGCATGCGTAATATTGTGCTCAACGTGTACATCTGTAAAATCGGAGGTCATGCAATTAAAGCTCGACGGTCCAAGTTCAGAGAGATAGTAAAGTGCGCGTGTCCGACGAGAAAAACTATCTCCACACAAGTCACGTTCTTTTAATGAACTCAGGAAGTATATTCTTATAATTCTTCATTTTTAAAAAGGTAAATCACTAAGTGTGATGCATGCAGGTTTGAAGTCAATAACATACAATACATAATTTCTTGTTATACAGGCAGTAAAACACAACTCGCGCTAGTAAATTGGCTGACAGAGAAACTAAGCAAACTTAAGTGAAAATGAAATAAAAGATAATACCTGGAATGCAAATTATTATTTCAACGTATACATAAGACCTATAAATGCAAAGCTCTTTAAGCCCTTTGCGTACTTATATTTGGAATGTAAAAAGCCAACTTCATTAAAGACTGGTTTTCCGCGCATATCAAGTTACAGAGCCTCTTATGAGAAAAGGAATTTCTAATACTTTTCCTAAGTAAACTTCCTGAAGCCATCAAGAAAAGCATTCGCTCTCATCGCCTGACCCACCAATTACAAACGAAAGCAAATTCATTGATGCTTGTTGGTATTGGGAAAAATAGACCACGTGGGGCATATACAAAATGCAATCTCTAGGGAGGTGATTCTTCTATGGATTAGCAACACCAAGAACGGTGGTAAAAGCATGTACCCAAGTGCGATATATCAAGGGTTTATCAGTATGTCAAAAGACCTACTAGTAAAAGATTGACGAAAAGACAACCAAGCACAAAAAAACCACGACGGATATAAATATAAGTAACAAAGTGACAACTTTTGAAGCTAAAAGGACTAAGAACACATCGCTGTTGCATTTCATAAAGGATACGCTTAAAAGCCTTTAAAATGGAATAACATATGGCAGAACTGGAGTGTGCGATAGACTTACCTTCACGTGGTGCACCCTGAGAAACGTATACTCATACTGTGTCAGATTCGACTACTTCCACAGTACACACCTCTTTTTTTCTACCTGTGTCTGTCTCTTTAACATATTAGAAACACTCTTCTGTTCCCCCTCCCCTCTCGACAGTTATTCACGTTGATGTTCCTTCCCCTCTGTGAAGCCTGAAGTCAACTAAAGGGCTAATGATAACTATCAAAACGTCTGCCATTTGATATAAATAAATAAACATACGGCACAACTTATATATTAACGAATTTCTGACGGGGTTTTAACTCTCTATCGGGTTGAAGGAAATCGAAAAAGGCATTATAAAAACTATTGCAAAATGTATGAGACCAATGCAATTAGACCTCTGTAATTCGAAATGTGCAAAACGCACGATTAGTGTATCGGTCGCAGGGTGATCAGCGTGTAACTCCATCAAGCTAGAGGAGAAGATTCATTGAACGATAAGACTAGCCAATGAAAAGAGTCAGTGGGAGTTTGAAGTGACCACATAATACCCCATAGGTCATTGGGCCTTAATTAACGATTAATGATTTCATCATAAGCTGTTGAATCAAAAAAGGAAGTAAAATATAGAAACTTCTCTTATCGTATTTTCTAGCTAACGACCAGGGTTAGAACCTTTCTTCTCATATTAATTTTCAATATTCCCATTTGGGAGCTATTAAATTGGAACCACGGAGAGGATTAGAGTTCATTTAAGTTCATCGTGAGAGAACTCGAAATTCTAATCGTTAACTTCGCCTTGGAAAACAAGTATCAGCGATACGATTGTGAATTGTAAACGATAACTATCTCTTTAAAGAGAAATGGAAAAATGGTTTATCTAAATCAGTGGTATACATATAGTTTTTGACAGAAAAATCGAGTTATTAAATCTACTTAAACATCTACAAGTGACATTCAGGCAACAGTACTAACAATGGAAATAGAAAAGGCGCATTACAAACCTGTTTGCGATCGTTGTACAAGCTATCCACTAGATCATTAACTGTATCCAGCTCGGAAGCCTCCGATCGTTTCAGCTCTTCCAATTTGCGATTCACTTGAGTGCAACGGGCATTATAGAGAGACTCCTTCAAATGACGGAACTCGTACTCCAACAGGTCGACCTCCATCTTGAGATTTCGTCGAGCGTACTCAAGCATTTCCAATGGAATGGAGTCAACCGAAAATGAGTCATTGTTCTCAGTCTCTGTACCCACAGTGCATCGACTATTATTGTTGTTGACCTCTGATGAGTTAGAGGAAGGCTGCCGTTCTTCCTCTTTAATGGGCTTAAGGGCAGTTGTAAACATTACTGACAGTACGTACTAAGGAAAAATAAAAGGAGGCAAATTAAAACACAATTATGCACTCAAAGTATAAGAGGAAAGTGTTGAAGTGCTAGGAGGAAAAATCTCTCTGAAGATGCTATGCTACGCACTTTCAGAATAAAACAATTTCTAATCAATTGTTCATAATAAAATATGATTTAAAATGGGAATACCAAATGTGAAATCGGCTAGGGCAAAAAGATATGATAAGTAGGAGTTATGCAATGAAGAGCAGGGAATAATAAGCAACAATAACCTTTTTATAAGACACCAATCTCACAAAACCTGGAGGATTAAAGGAACTAAAGCAACGCGAGTTTCATTTCATGCCTACTCAAAATAACTTCTTTCCAAATTTCTGATGTTTCTTAATTGCTCTGTACTTCATGATTGTAAATACACCAACGGTCAGACAAGGTTGTCGCATTCCGTTAGACCTTAAAAAGATTATTAATCGTGCAAAGAGATATCTTATAGCACTTTCAGGACTGGATGTACCGTAAAGTTCAATCTCTTTGAACATCTAAAAGAGAACGCCTTCAACTGCATATATAAGGACCTAATAAACTGACACTGAAAGTCGGAAAATCGCTATAAAACGATCGTAAAAAGGAAGATTGCCTTAAGATAGAATTGACTCAATTTCAATGCCTAAGGCAGCAACGATCAGGATTCCAATTTGTGCGTAAGTTGTCCGTTATACGGTACCGAACTATGGCACTTGGGAAAAAAAGCGTAACTGGTTTTTAAAATTTTAGCCTACGTAAACTACGAATTTTGCAAGAAAAAGAGCCATAATCAGCTATTATCTAACGTCATATATCAGTGTCATAAAACCAGGGATAAATACCTGGGTCTGAAGAACGAATGCACCCAACGTATAGTACTGTTTTTGCCAAGTATTCACCTTAGCTGACAAGAGAAGAGAGATTAGAGAAAAAGCTCAAAAGTCAAAGACGGACTGATTTCCAAATTCAGAACTGATTCTTTCAAATGGACATTACTCAACGCTATAGAAGAGAGTAAAGCCGCAAGGTGAGAACGAAAGCAAAAATACATAATTTATTAATACAAAGGAAATAAGTAAAATGAAGCGACCAATAAAATGCATAAAACGGAGGAAGTTAGCAAAAGAGGGAGCCACAATGGCGTTTAAAATCAATAAATACCATTGAACCTAGAGGAAAAGTAAGGTCTTAAATGTTGGTTTAAGAAATAGGAGAAATGAGATGTAGTTTTACTGAGAAGTAAATAGCAAAGTAAAGAACGATAAAAAACACGACGCATTGTGTGAAAAAGATAAAAGAAGCATAATTTCTACGTGAAAGAAAAAATAGGCATATATAAAGAAATATTTAAGCCACTTAAATTCAGCTGGCAGTAGCAATCGAAATAAGCATGATTGATTTAAGGAAGAAAAATAATTGAATAGAGCCATGACAAAGTCCAAGTCAATATTTTTGGTAAAAGTGAGTGGAATAATACGAAAAATAATCTATATGCTATAATAAAATTAGAAATGAGAGAATTCATTTCAAAAATAGCCGAAAAGCCATAATTCAACCGATAAAATTAAAAATAATGTTATTAATCAGCTTACAGAACAATGAATCGGAGTATAAAACACTTTAGAATAAAAATTAAGACAAATAAACTAAATAGGGAAGTTTTTAATTAATAAAATATGAAATTAAGAGAAGCGCACCCGGAAGGCTAAAGCCACGAATCACAATGATACTCAGTGGCTTTTAACAAGGTCATCATCAAAATTAAATTGATATAAACAATTTACTTCATAAATATTTTTCTTATTATTCATAGTTTATAATATATCTATAATTAATGTTTATAAATAAGCAATTCATTTTCATTTGCGATAGAGCATTAACTAGTTAGAAGAAGCTGAACTTTATTCACAAATTAACCTATAAGTCTAATACTAGTAAAGTTCTCTTCATGAATTGGTTTATCACTTTGTGTTCTTAAGAAGTGTTTAATGTATAGTATCTTACTTTTGATAATTAAGATGACTTTCACTAAGATTGACACTATTTTCTTTCTAATTTTTACTCCTAGAACCAAAATGGATGCTGGCCAACCACCTCCGCCAGAACTTACAATGGAGGATATCGCCACTTTCAAACGTTGTCGACAGGAATCCTTCTGGCGTGGTTCTGTTCCTATGATTATTGGAGCTAATCTGCTCGTAGGTATTGCTCATTCTCGCGGATTTTTCGATAGCCGACGTCGTCTTCTATTTCCCACGTATTTTTTTGCCGGCGTTGTTGGTTATATAGGAGGCAAACTCAGCTACATGGGAACATGCAAAAGCATGTTTCTACAACTCCACGACAGTCGTGTCAAGGATTTTCTTCTTGGTCAAACGGATAGACTTCCATTACCTTCTAGACCTGAAATTGTAGAAGGTTATAACTATCCTGTTGCTAATCGTCTTCCACAAGAAGGGCCTACCACATATGCTCAGAGACGAGAATATTTCCGCCAACAACAGATGGTTGGAACACCTGGCTCTCCCCAGCATCCCTTCCCAATTCCGACCCAGGGTAATAATCAGGAGATTTCAAAATTAAATCAACCAGAGGAGGGTCAGTCTTCATGGCTTCAACCCCCAATACCTCAAGCGCCCCAGAGTCAGCAGCAGTCCTCTTCATCAGACTACTTCGATAATCAACGTCCACTTAGTTCGTTCTTTCAAGATGATGATTACAAGCCAAGGGATTGAACGTATTGCCTATTTTTCTCACTTCTTGTTATTTAAAGCAAAAAATAGTAGTTTTGAGATCTTCAAAACGTTGTTGTAATGTTAATACTACATATATATACATACATACATCCAATTTTGTGGCTATAGTTGAGGATCTTCCGAATTTGGGGTGGGCAATTAATATTCCAAGTAGGGATATTGTCGAAGTTCGCTTAGATCAAATCAAGGATTGTGGGAGTAGTGCTCATTTGTGCACCTCTATTGATGTGTTTATCTCACGCATTGGTTAATTCTGGTTAACCAAAGCTGTGTATGACAATTTTCTCATCAGAGCGTTGTACGGGCGCTAAAGTCGTACTAATCCTGTCATAAGACAACTTTTTGCCTATATCAGCTTAGCTCCCAATTAAGCTAAAAGCATACTGCTATTTTTTCTCAAAATCAGACGACCACGCGTTGAAATGGATCAATGCACACTTAATAAAGTGCAGGGAGAGGAATTTGAAGGTACAGAATAACCACCATCATTAAGGCGTGGAACCCGAGTCATGATCGGGGTACGTTGGTAGAGTTGACTAATTTTGCGTCCTTTGTCAGCTGAAGTGCAATCAATAAATTGCCCGATAATTCGAACAGTGTTGAGTTCATGTGAAAGAGCACCTCAAAGCTTCCCTTTCACTCAGTTCTGGTGTTTTTAACACTTCTATTAATGGACTCCGAAACGTTTTTTACGATAAAAGCTGATATTCCTGTCCTATACACCAATAGAATTAACAAAATTTTACTCATCTGTTGTCTATTCTTGTTTTATCACATAGTGCTTGTTATGAAGGGTCTCTCGTTTTAATGTTGGGCTAATCTCAATTTAAACGTCGCTTTCCCGGTTGATGCGCTATTTAGTGTGAAAAAAATTAACTTTGCACTTTACCTCTCTGTCCTACTATCAGGAGAGTTTGTTAAGGCTTAATAGGGTCACTGCTGAATATTCAAATGAACGCCTCATATGCAAAAATAATTACGAGGGTTTTCAAGGAGGGGGGGGGGGGTGTTCGAAATGATAGCCAACCCTCCATTATATCATTTCGTTCCAAGGCCTATGTCACGAATCTGTGTGACAAAGATAATGGGAGAAATAGTCACATTCTGACCAAATTACTAGAAAATATAGTCAAAAAGTTTCCATTCAAATGACATTATTTTAAATAGAATAAATATTTAGAAGCTCAAACGTGTCTTTAGAGTTGCGTTAATAGCATCCAACTGTCCGATCATTCTATGTAAGGCCAGGATCAAGAGCTGTTGACCCTCAAAAAAATCTAGAAATTCTCAACCCCTCAAATGCAAATTTTGAGATAATAGATAGCATAAAATTTTAAATAAAGTAAATTGGAAACCTGTTCAGACCATAAAAATTTTACTACAGGTTTGTGCGGGTTCTGTGCCATATAGAGCAGTGATTTATTATTGAATTAAACGCCTTAAAGCGAGAAAAGTGCATCTTGATGACAACCCACGAGGAGGATGATCCACCACAGCAAACGTACTTATTTGCTTGTTTATCAGGTGTAGTGTGTGTTGAGCACGTTTAGGTATTGCATCGCGATGGTATCACGCAACTATTACTGCTTTTTTATTCAGTAGTTAAGGTAGATCTAATCATTTATTTTCAAAGGCGTATATCAATAAGGTCCGTAATTATTTCATTATACAGGCATAGAAAAGCACTTTATTGCTCTCCTTAAAGATGCTAAGCAATTTCAAAATTGAAGGCGCCACTCTTTTTTATCCTTTCCATTTATGCTCCAACTTCAAGCTATGACAAGGTTGAAACAAATGTCGATGACCGATTAGCAGCCCATGAGAGAGACAACAATCTGGATAGGGGGTGTACGATAGACTTACGTACACGTAGCACACAATGGGCAACGTAAACTCATACGCAATAAAGGCCTATGAACTGGCAGCTGACTTCTGACTTCAAATTACCATGACCTGACTGCATGTCATATTCGACTACCTCCACAGTACTCGTCTTACCTTTTCTCTGCCACTGTGTCTGTCTGTCTGTCTCTTTACATCTGTGAATCATTATTCCGCCCCCCTCACGGCATTTTGCCACTTTGAAGTTCCTCCTCCTCTCTGTGAAGCCCGAAGTCAACTAAAGGTCTAATAATAACTATCAAAACTCCTGCCATTTGAAATAAATAAATATAAATAATCTGGAAAGGGGATAAGAAGGGGCATGCGATGAGTACCCACTTTTGACGTTTGTGAGAGTTTTCCTGGTATTCGTCTTTGTAAACTACGCTACTTGCTTATTCCCGTCTCTACGTATGGACAGTGACAAACAGGAAACCATTAATGTTCATCCTCTATCCCATCGTTGAATATCTTATTGAGGAAAAGTTGTTGTTATCTATAAAAACTCTTATACAAACATATGACCTGTCTTACTCAATGCAGAGAATGTATTTGCTTTTTAACCTCTGGATATATCCATAATTAATGTATACATACATTGTATAATAATAATACTAATGTAATAATGTATAATAGTATTGTGGGATACGTCATCACATGCCTGCACGCCAGGATTGGGAGGTATGACCATACAAACAGTGACCAATCATCAACCTCTGTTTGTTTAATCCTATCCGCCATCCTAATCATGATTAAGCTCCCTGCGTGTACACTTTATCCACAGTATACGTACTGAATAAACGTGTTCCGTGCTGTACGTCTGTTTCCTTCATAGCTGGGCTATAGGGTAGCTGGTTCTGGGAGTCTAGGCAGATGAAGGAGAAACTGACACAGAGATTTCTGAGTCAGTCAGGCTTTACTAGCTTAGCAATCCGCTACAGTATATTCTAATATAATATATAGAAATATGTGACGCTTAACCGGAACTGTTTACTAAATTCAAAATAAAAATTGAATATTAATGAAGCGGAGTCGTTGAATTCATCTAGTAATTATCAAACAACTAAAACCACTTAAACGGTCATAATGTTCAAACAAATGAAATATTTGAGCTCTATTTAATTCCGCCTTGAAACTAACTTGATTTTATATCACTAAACCGTTAATTGGGTCTTTCAATCTGAAAACTATTAGTACTTAAACATATTAACTAGAGTCATTCCTTTGGCATCTAATTTTCTATACTTGTCGAATTTGAATAAATGAGTCTAAATTAAATTGTTCTCACTCAGAAAATATCCCTAAAAGAACAAGCTTCTATTTGATTTCATTTTAGCTTATGCTCTAATTAAAATTCTTTAGATTTATTACTGATGTTCACTTGGTTGGTATATTATTATGCACCTACCCAGATGGACAAGTACTGAGCACCTGGTTACCATAACCACTGCATTTATCAGTTGGCAAGTGGATGTCCTACATACTGGGAATGCTTCCGACTTTGCACCGTTTTCGGATAATTATCGACCGTCAAGTGCTGCACCCGTACTCGGATGAATCCCTCACCAGTCAAGTTCCGGGTTCTACAATGGCATAGGTTTCCTATTATTGCTGATAAAAAATATACCAGTTGCATAAGGCGTGGTCTAAAGAGTATTTATAAGCGAACATTTCAAATGGTTCTAGGTAAAAACTATATAGAGATTGCTGTCTTTAAAACAGATCAAGTGTAGGCTGAAGGAGATACACACTTAAAATGGCTGGCTGTCGATAGTGTAGCGGATCCCTACGCTAGTAAAGCCTGACTGACTCAAATCTCTGTGGCAGATTCTCCTACATCTAACTAGACTCCCAGAGCCACCTAAGCCATAGCCCAGCTATGAAGGAAACAGGCGTGTAGCACGGAGCACGTTTACTCAGAACGTATATTGTGGATATAGTTTACACGTAGGGAGCTTAATCATGATCAGAATGGCGGATAGGGTTAACAAACAGAGGTTGATGATTGGTCACTGTTTGTACGGTCGTACCTCCCAATCCTGGCGTGCAGGCATGTGATGACGTGTCCCACAATAGTAGTTGAATTCAAAATTTAAACTTGTTCACTTTCTGAGGCCTACATTCTGATCCATTCTGATCACGTTTATTTTCATATTTTCGCTAGCCAGTTTGCTACATATGGCTATTTTCCTAAGTAGTGCGCGAAAATTGTAGCTTATCGTTAGGCTAAACATTTGCTCAGTTGACCGATTCCGCACTCTACGAGCAGAGCCCAAAATCTTGTAAAAAAATCTCTCGAACATTTTGTTATAACATGGCGGGCTTTATGTTAGCTACCGTTAGCTCTTCAGTTGGTTTCTGGTTTCACAGAGGGAGGAACAGACAGTGGCAAAAAGTGGAGATGGGGAACAGAAGAACGATACACAAATGTTAATGAGACACAAAGGTAGAGAAAAAGGTAAGGTGAGCATGGTGAATGTGGTTCAATATGACATTCTATCGGGTCATGGTTATTTGAAGTCAAAAGTCAACTGCCTGTTTATGGACCTTTTTGGCGTATGAGTGTACTTTGCCCAGGATGTAAGTAAGTCTATCGCTCACCCCTAGTCCTCGAACCTATATATCTTAAAATATATATTCTTGAAGTAAGAACCTGTTTCTCTGAGTATTTTTAAGATTACCAATGTTAAGATTTTTATTGTAAATATTTAAACAGCCGACAGTTATCAAAATATGCAGGTAGAGCATCTAGATTCTATAAGATCCATTGCCTTATCGACGCTCTATATGACGCTTAATTTTTTTTAATTCCCCTAATAATAAAATGATCTTCCTGTTCATAAACTGTCCCACGGTTATCAGAAGTCGTCAGCTGAAAAATAATTGAGCATAAATATGTCACGGAGATCTTTCACCACATCATAAATTCAAACGTCAATAAACTTAACGTAAGTGAGTCTCACACAAACACTTTCATAGTCATTATATCTAAAAAGTGCCTTTTAGTTAATAGTGGACTTATATGAGGTCAACTTGCTTTGCGTTGATAAGGTCGTTTATTTGACGCTGTGAGAACTACAACAATATTAGTTCATAGCCAACATAGTACTTGTAGTTTAGGCGATTAATAGTATTAGATTAAAGTGTTGGTGGGGTGCCAATGTGTTACCAACTAATAGCATTATTAAAAAGTCAAATTAAATAGTGGAATGAGGACACAAAAAAGTCTTGTATTGCCATATTCATAAATTTGATTTGTGGCCTGGATTGGCAATTAGAAGCTTATAAATCTAGCTACTATACTGGCACTAAAATGAGTGGTGAAGTCTACTTAAACCCTGAAGTTTTCCATAATTAATTTTTCGTTCATTTCATTTCATAACGTATTTATTACTATATTACTTTAAAGAAACACTTGACGTGGGAGTGGGGGGGGGTAAGATTTGATAGATTAAATTGCCTCATTGTGACTGCAAATTCATTAAAATCGGGTTTTCAACTACTGGGCGCAATATGCGACTCTCACCACATATTTAGTCCAACCGAGTTAATGAGAGAGAGAATGGGTGATTCACAACTGTTAACGGGTGGACACGCTTCAAAAGCCCAAAACATGCGATTGAGTAAATCGGAAAGATAGCCCAATTAGAAGATAAGTATATGAAATTTTGGTGGAAATATTAGAGGAGAGCCTCTAAATTTGATTAAAATATAGCATTTCTAGAAATAGAGATAAAAGAGAATCACCAATTACTTCATAACTTGGGGGTGTAATTAAAGAGACAGAATTCATTCAACACCTTGACCAAATTATGTTTAAAAACAATCAGCTTCGTTTAGAGTAAATGGCCAGGTTTTAATGCCGAACAGCATGATATTGTTAGGTGACTTTGGCTGGAGAGTCAATTATTATAAGGAACTTTGTGTTATTTTAAAATCAAAGAGGTTAGTAATAATTTTCGATAAGTAAAAAATTACTAGATTTTACACACAACTCAACCAATCTCCCCCCCCCCCCCCCCTCCTTCCAAAAAGGCAAGTTTTGACCCAAAAAGATATTTTTTTCCCAATATCCATGTACGTGTAGCTAGCCACATTCTCCTGAATAGAATACAAGTGGGTTTTTGGTATGATCTAACGAAACCCTACCTTCTAACTACTATATGCCTGTTGTTCACTGTTTAACAAATGTAATATTTTTAATGTAGTTTCTAATTGAGTTAAGTTAACTCATGTAAATATGGCCTAACCAAGAACTCAGAATGAATTGATAGTAGAGGAACTGTCGAGTAGTTTGTCACATTCTGAACAATTTAGCACAAAAGAAGAAGTCTTAAAGTGGTCTCCTAACTTGGGCAGCTGACCAGCCTTACGTTTAATGAATTGAATCAATAAGACCACACATGGCACTTGGATGGCATTGATTTTTGACCTTGGCTGGCAAAATGTCATGTGCACTCCTTGGCACGTGAATATCGACTGTTCGTATGGCCTCATTGCCGACAGTTGGCCCCAAAGTCACATTTTCTTACTGAATTTCAAACCTATTTGATCTGTAACCAATTTTCATCTTAACTTGACAATAATCTATAAATTAAGAGGATATATTATAAGTTGTTTAAATTTTACCCCATTGATGGATTATTTTTATAGCATTTTTGTTGCTTTATGCTTTTAGTACTGAAAAAGTTTTTATGCCTTCCCTTTGTCACTTTATTCTTATTGACATGGTCGAAAAGGTATTTTAGACTGAGAAGAATTGTAGGAAGAAGAAAGATGGTACGAAATTATTGTTATTTGAATAATTAAAGGTGAGGAGAATACCCTAATTTTCCTTGTAGCAAATTACTAAATTTTACCCCTTTGGAAGTCCCAGAGGTTGATTACCAACAGCATGTGGCCGACAGGTTCGGAACAGTGACCTGTTTGACCTCATGGTTAAAATTAGATGGGCATTATGAATTACTCACCAGTGACCTTAGAGGTGAGTAGCAATTTATTTTACCAAGCCGGCCTGGAGAGCAAATGCTAATACTTTAATTGGTAATTGCTAACCCCTATTTTATATTATTTTTTGTGTATGCTCATGATTTCTTATTAGCCTGCGGAAGATAATTAGCACTTCATTGCCATTCTGCAGGATGTATACCTATTTCACCCCAAAAATTAATAGTGAACAATTCTTAAACTGGTAAACATTTCAAAGTACATTGTTTTCAAAATTCTGATAAAATTCTACTAATCTTAATGGTCAGTAATGCTTGGTGGTTGTATAACAGATTGTGGTTTAAAAATTTCGATTCTCGCAACCAAATGACCAATAATAATGTAAGTATATCTTTGAACTATTGAAATGGAATATAAAAACTCATTTCTCGATTTTTAGAAGAATAGTACACTTGAAATTACGTTCTGAAATTTGTCCCATAAAACGATCACAGCACGTTTCATATTATATATTCTTTACATTTTTTATTTTGAATTATTATTTTGTGCTCTCTTTTCTATCTGCTTTATTGCCATTCAGGAGACGGAACTTTCGGACGAAGTGGTCTATGCGTTGATATTCATTTGAAAAAAACAAAGTTTTTAGGTTCATGGCCCAGGCAAAATTATGGACGTTTTATTTTAAATAGGATTAAAAAGTAAAAAATGTGGAGTATAGAGCCGGAGAGAACAACGAATCAATAAGGTTTCGAGTGAATAAAAGTTGTCCTTTTACTTTACTTCTAACCTTTGCATCAAACATTACGTCTCAGTTTCAAATTTTTCCCCATTTTTTACTTATTTTTTAACGAGGCACAACTTTTTTATTGTTGAATTTTCAGCCTCTTTCTCTCCTGATTTTTTTTCAGTCCTTGACATAAATTTTGCGGCTTGAAGTGGACCAGATCAATCAGGTGAGATAAACATATGGTCGAATTTAAATCGGCTAGCTCTTCTCTTAGATTTTTTTTCCTGATGTGATAATTTGCTTTTAAAAGTCCCTACCAGGTTAAAAAAAACTTGGGAGAAATTAAGAAGTGTTGGGAATTAGCTAGTTCCCTTCTACGACATTTCTTGCAGGTTTGTTAAACATCTCCAAAACTACGCAGAATATGCTCCCACGGCCGAGTAAGTTATTTGCAGACATGAATATCGACAATTTAATTTGAACTAGGATTTGAATTTTCCCTACAAATTATTGCAAATGTTGAATTTCTCCCAGAGTAGAAGAGTCTGTTCTTGAGAGAAATAGTAAACATATCCTATCCTTCCCTTTTTCGCATTGACTAAAGCAACGCTGAGCCTATTTCAAGTAAGACGTTTATATTTTCTAAGACTGGGAACGAATAATAATTACAATGCTCTAGGTGCTATGGAACTGGTCGACATTTGAGGTAAAATTTTCTCCCAACCCGTTTCGAACCGGTGTCTAACCCACCTCTTTGTTTCATCTTTATTTGTGGTCATCCCAGTTTCTGGACATGTGCCTGTGAATTTAAATGCTACAGCATAAGTTGGTCTACCTTTTCGTATTTTGTAAAGCTCCATTTATCCAGTTCAAAAAACATGTTTGATGTTAAGTGGCATGCATTGCTTCTCATCTTGTAATGTGTCTTTTGCTAGCTAATTGAAATTCATCCATAGACATTTAAGGTCGAGCAATCTGCAAGGGAAAAACCTCCTTTTCGGTTCGGTCTCTTCGGTTATCGAGAAATTTTTCAAATACTCAAAATTCCAAACGTTAATTCGTTATTCCGAATTGGCCTTCTTTGCTTTGATGATTCAAGACCTATAGATACTTTAATTGCATAGAGTTGGTCTTCAGTCAATGTAAGTCAATTTCACTGCACCAAATCTTAGACAAATCTTCTATGAGGAAGTTGTAGTAAGTTCAGTTATGCACTGATAAGCAAAGAGGCATTCAAAAAGATACTCTCTTCCGCAATTCTCAATTTCATTATTGATGTAGAGTAATTTAGCAAAATCCGATTCGTTTAGGGATTTCCTAAAATATACCACTAAATTTGTGCCGATCTGAGAGTTCTGGAAACTCTTGAGTATTCAAATATAATTTTATCTTCACCACTTAGAATTAATAGATTTGTTTAAATATGAAATTCTTTGAAAATACATTAGCATGAAAAGCAAAGTATTTACTTTCCATTTAGTAAGCCTATTTTAAATGTTTGCAATTCATCTTTAAAAATCCCAAGACTCTATTGAGATATAAGTAGATTATTCTGGAATTCGCAAAATCCGAGCAAGCTAAGAACTGCATTACCCTGAATAGGGTAATATAACATCGTTGACCCGATTATTCCCTAACCAATGAAACGCCACTTCATTAGAGATTTGCCTGCCTGACCTGAAGCAAGCGCCTACACAATTGGTTGATTCCTTACTGGCTATTCCCATTGGTTAATTATACGACTAGATTTACCAGCACGAACGAGTAGTGGTCATTCAAGCTTTTCTGGGTTTCGATTCTGGTATGTTTGCTCCCTTAAATTAATTTTGATTTTATTAATTATTGCTAGTAATTTGCATATTCTTGCTCTAACTTTGTTCATTACTTTGTTTAAATCCACTAGGCATACTTAGAATGCCTTTGGTGGACATTATGCAATCTGCTACAGTTGGAACGCGCTTATTGATAATTGCATGTTGATTGACAATTATTATGGCTAATACATTTAATTAAGCAAGTGGAATACTAACGGAATATAGTCTTAGTTATGTCACTTGAAGAAATTCAAAAGCATAACTCGTTGCTCCAAAGGCATTGATGCATTATGCAAGTGCATTTGACCTAGATAAAAGACACTAGTCGAAGGAATCCCTGCCTAATTTAACACACATCATTGGTTAGCTAAAGATAGTTTCCAGTATTTCTCCCCTTCCCATATATGTACAACCTTCTATTATTATTAGAACTTGCTAATTTATTCTTTTCTGTTAGCTAATATAGGAATAAAGAGAAACAACAACACAAATGGTTGCTCAGGAGTTTCTTGCCCAACTCGACAAGTTACACTTTGTCGATAGCTCAAATCTACACGATTTCGCTGATCGTTGTGCTTACCTTCTCTCGTTTGTGGTCTTGTTTATTTGCTTCACGATTGTGACCCTCAAATCTTATGTTTTTGAGCCTCTATCCTGCTATACAGCCACCACGTTCTCCGGGTCCAATATGATTGCTTATATCAATGCATTCTGCTGGGTGAATGGCACGGTTCCAGCAGATGTGAATACAAAAAAAATAGACGATCCCGTCTACTGGGATTATCTTGAATCCAAGAAAGTCAGTAAGTCGTTTTCGTTGACGCTTAATTGAGCACTTTTAGATTGTTCTTTTCCCAATATTCTTTCAGCTTATTCGATCTCATTTTAAGCTTTAACCCGGTCAGACTAGTTTTAGATAAACTGATGAGTCATTTAAGAGGTCAAGAATGGGCGACGATTGGGAATTTGCAATTTAAGGTCAAAAGTCATTTACAGCCAATGCATAATTACTCATATTTTTCTATAGCAAAGCCTATAATTTGATTAAATTATCAACTCTCGAAAAATTAGCTGAAGCCTGGTCTTTTAATTATAACTAAATTGTATGGTTGCCTCAGAGAATCTCGTTAATGTTTATTTCAATGTTAATATAGGTGCTTTATTTTAGTACTTTGAGTTCACTTAATTGTACTTATCAAATTTATATGAACTTAGCATAACCTGATAACTGCCATTTAGACTCCGATTATATGATTATACTCCATTCATTTGAACAAATTTCTTTTTGTAAGGTATGCTATGAATAACTGATATACGCCTTTTATTTTTGGGAAGAGGAAAAATACAAATGGGGTGATTATTGAAGTCAAGATTGGGACTAGGGCCTTGATCGTTGGTTGCTCTAATTATAGGCAAAACCACTTCATGGGATCGACCGAATTAGATTAAGTATCTTTGGATCGAAGTTATTTATGTCTTCCTAAATCCTTCCTTATCCTGAGTGGATGAGATGGCAAAGGAAGAGTGGAGGAATAAACTACGAGAAAGTGGAAATGTGTCACAACTGAGGCAGGACAATCTGAATTTTGAATAAGTTAAAATGAGGCACATCAAGGTGAATGATCCACATTCCGCGTTTATTTTTCACTGGCAGCTTGAGGTCAGGCCTATGAATTTGGGTACGCATCTACCACAGCCTCTTTGTACCATAAACTTGAGAGCGTTTGGCTGTAGCTTGACCTTGATGGCAGGTGGGTGAAGATTGTAGATGGTGGTGGCTTTCGAAAGCGAATGATGTTGCCTATTTGGTAACGGTTAACAAGATTTTTTATCTTTTGCTCTATTTTTTAGATTACTATCAATGGGTATCCCTTGTATTGGCTCTCCAAGCCATTATGTGCTACCTTCCATCTCTCTTCTGGGAGGCTCTAACATTCAATCGTATTGGATCTAACCTAACTTTCTACATTGAATCCGCTCAGAGTGCCGCTAGGGACTCGGGAGCTAGTCGCAAGAATAAGGTAGAGTTTTTAGCTTCAGCGCTGGATACTCTCTTCTATGCCAGACGTGAAATTGAATATAGTCCAAAAAGGAATATTTGTAATCGCCTTCTGAAGTTCATACGTGAACTTCTCCCACATAAGCGTCTGGGCCGCGCTCTCTGCGCCTACTACATGGTCATCAAATTCCTCTACTTGGCAAACGCTGTTGGACAGATCCTTATCATGGAGAGCTTCCTCGGAATGACCGGGGAGTACAGATTTTTTGGATATAAGGTTCTCAGTGATCTTTGGAATGGTCGCTACTGGCAGGAGTCATTAGTGTTTCCACGTGTCGGCTATTGCCGTGTACCCATCAAACTTGTTGGAAAACCTATCCCAACTGTTGTCGCTCAATGCACAATGCCTATCAATATGCTGAATGAAAAGGTTTACATCTTCCTTTGGTTCTGGTTTGTTGGTGTAGCTTCACTAGAAGTGGCGAGTATTTCAATTTGGATTTTCCGATTGTGTGTTCGCAAACGACGTGTTCGATCACTAATCCGATACCTGAAGATTGCCGAGGCATATGAGCAGAACATGAAAGACTCTATTGTTCGTTTTGAAAATGACTGCCTACGTCCCGATGGTTCATTCCTTCTATACATGCTGAGGCTTAATGCCGGTGATATAATTACAAATGAGATTCTTCAGGCTCTCTTTGAACGGTTCCTCCGCAATGAGAAAGCACTTGCAGCCAAAAAGATTCAAGATAGTGTCAATGTCATTTCCTCAAATCCAAATCAAAATATGCTCATAGATGAAAAAGCTGCTGACATGAGTGCCGTAAAACAACGTTTCGTATGAACATCTATCGATAACAACCATGTGCTCAAAGACAATCTGTTTCTCTGTTCTCTATAGTTTTTGATATCTCATTTTCTAATCCTCATCTTTATATTTCCCATAAACTATTTAATAGTTCTAAATGCTGAGAGTTTCTTGTCTTTGTTTTTGAGTCAAGTACCTCACTCCGTCCTTTGGTGGAAACCGGACCTCGTGTTCTGCCTCTTCTTTCTGGGGGGGGGGGGGATGAATCATTGGGTGGTTGCTCGATGTGTAGGCGACCAATGAAAGCAGGGAAGTTATCGCGCATGGAGGTGAGTCATCAGGGAGTCACAAAATCTGAGTGCACGTGAATTGAAGATGACATCTGGGTTAACAAATATTTCTGGGAGGGAGTTGATGAGTCATTGGAGGAAAGGCAAGTGTCGAGCGTAGGCACCGAAACAAGCAGTTTAGATGCGTTACACCTTTCTTATATGAGTGTAATTGGCTCTGCAATTAATTTAGTTTTTACTGCTAATCGATTTTGGTATTAGATACCGTATGCTTAAATGGAGGCAGGAATTCACATTGAGGTGCAAAAAGCTTTGACCAAAATATTCGTTAGGAAATAACTCTTTCACTTTGAGTAAACATAGCTAATGCAATTCTGACGGTATCTGCAAGACATATTGAACACCGTAGACAAACAGCTGGAATACAAATTTTGGAACATGAGCAGCCCACTCAGACATTTCTCATAATCCTATTCCAAATATCAAATGACGCAAGATTGATATGACAAAATTAAAAAGGTGTTCTCAGAATTCTCTTATTTCTTCCCCTTTGCCATTCATCTGGAGTTACTGCTAACCGTTTCGGAGTGATTAGCACCTCTAAAAATAGTAACTGTTTTGTATTATTGTAGCAAATAATAACTGCTATAAAGACAATGCTTTAAAACGTAAAGCAGAAATAGCAACTGTGGTCCTGTTCATGATACTGTCGATTTGTGTTAGCTATGAATTTATTGGTATAATTCCATCTATTTGGACTTGGGGAGTGCACAAGGGCTGTTCAATAGAACTTCATACACGCCAGAGCATTCCGGAAAGTGAGACCGTGAGTTCAGAAACCTCTTAGTCAATTGGCAATCGAATTCTTGCAACAGAGAATAATAATGATTGTGTTTAATGACCAAGCACTTGGGTAATTTGCACTGTGAAAGCTGTAAGAAACTCTACTCACTTCAAGTGTCCAGCTTTCTCGATAATTTTTTAGGAATCTTAACTAGTATCAAGAACGATTTTCGACGTTTAGTCGAAATTTGTCTGTGAGGTAAATGCTTGAGGCATTTCCAAAATGACAGGTGGTAGATTTTTACCGATCGGCCATTCATATTGATGTGAGCAATAGAGTTATCCCAACAACAAATTACTGATGAAAGTACACTAAACGCCCTTTAATACTGATGGTCATGATATTGGAAAAAGGTATTTATTTATTTATTTATACCAAATGGCAGGCGTTTTGATGGTTATCATTAGCCCTTTAGTTGACTTCAGGCTTCACAGAGGGGAAGGAACAT